CTACTATTACTTCTACTACTGCCGCTGCTGAAGCTACTACTACTACTACTACTACTGCAAATACTTCTACCACTACTACTCTTATAATGATTTGAAAAGTATTAATATAAGCAATGAATAACCTACAAAATGTCAACATTCACCCTCTAACTACGAAAACATTCAGACGCATGTTCACAACGGACGGTGTGGCTGCGGGCGTTTCGGCGGGGTTCCACTCCCCAATAGGGGGCCTCCTATTTGCCATGGAGGACCTCTCTTCCTTTTGGAGCAAGCGCCTGAGTTGGCAGACGTTCTTTTGCAGTGTAGTGGCCACAAGTGTGGCCCAGATGTTCAACACCGCGTTCAGTTACTTCAAAATCACACGGCCCTTTGGATATTTTTTTATGTCGGTAGGTAGGGCGTTTTGGTGGGGGTTTGGTGAGGAGGGGGTGAGTTTAGAGGCTTGCTTGCTCGTAATTTGATTGGTTGGTTGGTTGATTGGTTGGCTGGTCGTGTTTTATTGGTTTGTTTTCAAAACTTCATGTAAACTTAGTTTGTTATTTTCTATTTAATTTATTGAAAATTATTCAGTTACTTAAAGTTTCTGTTAAATTTTTATTTAAACTTAATCAACATTTTGGTTCCTTGAGCTTAACTTCAAATCAATCAATCAACTCAAAAGCCTTTTTGCAATGATCTCAAACCGACCGCGGACCATTCAAAATTCACTCACCTCTCACAACTCAGTAACTTAAACCAAAAATCAAAAAAATCTAAACAAATCCTGAAAAACTTGAAAGGTGGTGGTGCCAATACAAATGCACGTCCTAATGTTCCTGCCATCAATTTTGCTTGGCATCGTAGGGGGTCTCTTAGGGGCCCTCTTCACCAGGGCCGCTGTTCTAATTAACAAAACAAGAAAGGAGCAGTTAGCGAGAATAGATAATGTCCGCATCCAGCAGATGCTAAGGATGGCCGAACCCTGCATCATTGTTGTTCGTTTTGCTTTCAGTTTTGTTTCTTGGTTTCGTTTTTCTTAGTTAGTTTCGTTTCGTTTCGTTTAATTTTTCAGTTCTATTTTTTTAATTTGATTTTAAGTTTAATTGGTTGGTTTTATTTTACTGCTGGTTAATTCTGCCGTGGAAATTGTGGAATAATTCTGCGAGAGGTAAGAACAATAGCACTATTCGTAGAACAATTTAAAGCGCGCAGGCAATACTCGGCCACACTCAACAACACAAAAACAACACCCCACTGAACAAAACTGAAACAGATACTGATGACTGCCTACACGGTGTTCCTACCCCTTGGAGTGCCCTGTAGAGAGGAAGCCGCCGCAAAAACCCTCCAAGAAACCATAACGAATTATTCGTGAGTTATTCTTTTTATTATATTATAATTAGAATAAATAAATAAATAATGATGTTAATAAATAATTAATTAATTAATTATTACGTAGAGGTTTTATTTTTTTTATTGTTTTAAATGAAATATTGTTAAATTTCATTGAAGGAAAGACCCTTTTGAAAAGATTAATTTCATACGGTATTCCAACTGTCCTAGGCAGACGAACGCTACGATGTATTACAACGAAAGTGAGTTTTAAAACTGAATGAATGGACGAACGAACGAACGAATGAACGAACAAAACGAATGAATAAATAAATTAAAATGATTAAAAATGATTTTTTTAAATTAAAAATACACCCAATTAATTAATCCATCTTACCCGTTGCACCACCGAAACCCTCGCCAAACAGTGGCCACACTGATCCAGGGTGGGGGCACTTCCTATTTGGACATGCTCTGGTCCAGGCACACCTTCTACGTCTTCGAGTTCTCCACCTGCCTCCTTGCCTTCGTCATCTACTTCCCCCTCACCATTTGGACCGCAGGGACTGCCATCGCCGGGGGAATTTTCGGCCCGGTTTTGTAAGCCATGCTGTTTTTTATTCATGAGGAGGAAGAAAGAGAAATTGTGGGAGAAGAGAGGGAACAAGAGAAAGAAAGACGCAGATAGAGAGAAAGAGAGAGAGAGAGAGAGAGAGAGAGAATGGGTGTGATATAACTACAAGAACAATAAATAAAGAGAATGAGTTTGCGAAATGAAAAATGAAAAAAGAGAGAGGGATAGAGAGAAAGAGAGAGAGAGAGAGAGAGAGAGAGAGAGAGAGAGAGAGAGAGAGATAAATAAAAAATAGATAGATAAATATCAATTTATGTGTGTTTACTTTAAACAAATATAGGCATTTAATTGTTGTAATCTGCTGCCTGCATTCACACTTCTACGAGCAGAGGTTAACAAGTGCTGTTCCGAATGTCATCATTTCAAATTCTATCACAACTTACTCGTCCTCAAATAAATATCAATAATATAGTATTTGTAATTTCGATATTCTTAATCCAAAAGGTAGACACACACACACGTACACACACGTACACATTCTAGAGTGTCTGGCAGTTTGCTGGGCAGGGCTCTTGGTTCTGGATTCATGCACGCCTACCAGGCGACAACCGGCCAGAAATTCCCGGATAATGTTTACGCATGGATCGATCCGGGTGTCATGGCAGCCGTCGGAGCAGCGGCACTATTAAGCGGAGTTAACAGACTGGAAGTTGCTTCCACTGTTATACTGGTACGTCTGGTTTGGTTGTTGCTGTTGTTGTTGATACAATGAATATTATAACAATAATATTTATTATTGTAATATAATATATTAATAATAATAATTATTATTATTATTGAAAGGTTGAAATGGTGGGTGATATAAACCTGGTCTTGCCGGTGTTGATCGCCATTTTCGTGGCTAAGTCAGTGGCGGGAAAACTTTCGAAGCCGCTGTACAAGTACCAGCTGGAGGGGAAGGCACTGCCCTACCTCGACAGCGAACCTGAACTTGTCATTCATGGCAAGCTGTTAGTGAAGATGGTGATGACGACACTGATGACGACGATGATGATGATGATGATGATGACGCTGATGGTGGTGATGATGATGATGACGAAGGTGGTGACAATCACATAGATTTTCCTACCAAGAACCATTCAATCGTATCATATTTCAATCGGTTTTTATGAAGCTGCTCGTTTAATAATCATCATCACCTAAGTCTAACCGCAACCACTACTACTACCATCATCACAATCACCCTCACCACCACGGCCACCACCCATCACTACCACCACGGCCACCACTCATTCTCATCCCCCCATATCACCACCACCAAAGAGTAAACATGGAGTTATGGACAGCCAAGGACATCATGGTCAGTCCTGTGATCACCATAGAATCAAAAGTGAACATCAACAAAGTGTCGCAACTCCTACTGCAGACAAAACACAGCGGCTTTCCAGTTGTTAAATACGACGAAGAAGCCAAAGTGGATGTTGTTTGTGGAATCATTAGTAGGTCGGTCGGTTGGTTGGCTGGTTGGTTGGTTGGTTAGTTGGTTGGTTGGTTGGCTGGTTGGTTGGTTTGTTTGTTGGTTGGTTGGTTGGCTGGTTGGCTGGTTGGTTGGCTGGCTGGTTGGCTGGTTGGTTGGTTTGTGTGTTATTCTATCATCATCTTCATCATCATAAACAACAACATTATCCACAATTACAACAACAACGTCCACAACAACAACAACAACATCATCATCATCATCATCCACAACAACAACAACGTCAGATCTGATCTGTATTCCATACTGTCGAACGACACTCTGTACAAGATCTATCACGAGAACACTGCACCAGATGCTGTTATTGAGCCTGACATTCCATACGAAGAAGTGAATGAATGAATGAATGAATGAACGAACGAACGAACAAATGAATGAATGAATGAATTAGTGAATGAATGAATTAGTGAATGAATGAATAAATGAATTACTGAACGAATAAGTGAATGAGAAGAAGTGAGTGAGTGAATGATTGAATTAATTAATTATTGAATGAATGAATTAGTGAATGAATTAGTGAATGAATTAGTGAATGTATGAAAGGCTGTTGTATGAATTGGTGAAATATTTCTTGAAAATTGGTAGGTAAAAATTTGTTTTCGAATAAATTTAATGACTGTGAGACCGGGCAAATAAGCGTATTTGAGTAAAATATTTAAATAAATTAACAAATTTTCAATTGTAATAATATTACATATAATTATCCATAATAAATCATAATTTTTCATATTTACCCATAATTTCAACGCCAACAAATAATTTTCTCAGTTGGACTCTGAAAGAATTAGCAACCTAGAAAGAGTGCACGAAATCCTGAGATCTTACACAATGAAGAAAGACATCAACACAAGGATCAATCTAGTACGTTTGGGTATTCACAGTACAATACATCGTAATATATGTATCTGGGGCTGGTGATGGTGTAATCGTCAAGAAGGTTGGTCATTCTGTCTTAGTGACCGGGTACGAATCCAAGAAGATCCTCGCTGGCCACTTCCAATGCACCTATTTATGCTATATTGATGCATAACATAGATAACTTAACAAAGACATTACTGTAAATATTTACAACAACTGGAATGACATACAAACATAAAATCGAATTGAGAAAAATACAAAACATACAACGAAAAACAACAATATACAAACGCATACAAACACAAACCTACTAACGCAAACATACAAACACATACAAACGCAGACATACAAACGCAGACATACAAACGCAGACATACAAACGCAAACATACAAACGCAAACATACAAACGCGAACATACAAACGCAAACATACAAACGCAAACATACAAACACATACAAAACCAGGACCTCTTCTTGAGTATATCCGTAACGAAAGTTGACGGCGATTACTCCTTGCTGCGGACGTACCGACTCTTTCGAACCATGGGCCTCCGTCAGTTGCTCGTCATCGACTCCAGGAATCGAGCCATTGGAATCATAACAAGGAAGGATCTCATGCAGTTTAATATGCAGGTGCCTGTGGCTGTCTGGCTGTTGCTGGCTGATTGAATCGTTGTTCAGATATTTTCAATGTTGCTTCAGTGCTGTTTCAACAAGTTTTTGACTAAAATCTCCTTTTACACGCTAGGAAACTTTGGAGAAATTGGTTGGTCAGGAGATTCCTGGGGGCAGTAGCACCGTGACCCTGCCAGGGATGGCCCAAAACAGCTCGGGTACCCCCTGCCGATCGAGGCGGATGTCCCGTCGGTTCTCGGTCGAAGAGGGTAGCATACTCGGTACGGTGGTTGAGATTGATGCCGAAGTTGGCTCCACAGATGATGACGCTGTCATCGAACTTCCGGCTGTCACCAGGAGCCGCAAGTCCCAGATGGAAACGATTAAGGAGGAAGATAATGCCAACCACTCGGAAGCGGAAAAAGATAATAATAATAAGCCGGAAATGGATGCAAGTCGGCCGGAAAAAGAAGTTGAGAAGATTAATTTTTCCGCTCTGAAGATGAAAATGTTGAAAGGGAAGAGAAGAAAGTCGAAAGCTGAGAGTCTGGAAGGAGATGTTGACGTGGAGAGGGGCATTTTCAATGAAGGAGTCAAAGAATGTGATGAGGAAGATGAGGAGGCAGGCGAGAGCGATAATCGTAAAGGAAGCATTGTTGTTGTCGTTGAAAACCACAACACTGAACAACAGCCGCAACAGCAGCTGCAACAGCAGCCACAACTGCAGCCACAACTGCAGCCACAACAACAAAACTACGACGCCGACGATGATGATGATGATTCCCACAAAGCGCCAGCATCATCATTAACATCAACAACAACATTTTCGATAGATATTGATGAAAAATATTCCAGAAAATTCTGAGAAGGAATATTTTTCTATCATTTTATAACAACCACCACTACTATTACTACCTACCTATATAAATTACACATATATAAATTTATATATTTATTTATATATATATATATAATTTTATTCTTTTATTGAGTCGCATTAGTCCATCTATCCGTAGATTCATTCATTTTTTTTATTCGTTACATAATTTTGTTCGTTCATTTTTGTTTTCCTCCATTTTTATCCATCGATCCATCCATTCGTCCATCCATTCTTCCATCCATCCATCCATCCATCCATCAATCCATCCATTCTTCCATCCATCCATCCATCCATCCACCCAATTCATTCACTTATTTATTCATTCATTCGTTAATTCATCCATTCGTTTCTTATTTCTCTACCCACTGCCATTCACGATTTAAATTGTGTTATTATTATTATTATTATATTATTATTATATTATTATTATTGTTGTTGTTGTTATGAAATTATTTTCAATTTCAATTGCGTCCGGGATGTTTAATCGATTGCATTGCCAACAACAATTGTACTGCTGATATGAATGAATGAATTAATGAATGAATGAATGAATGAATGAATTAATTAATTAATTAATGCAGGAAGGAATGAATGAATGAATGAACGAACGAACGAATGAATGAATGAACGAATGAATTAATGCAGGAATGAATGAATGAGTTAGTTTTAAATTTTTATTTCAATGAAATGAATTAATAGAGACAACTGAGGTTGTACGTTATATGTATGTATCGATAAATAAAAACTATATGTACATGTGCACTTGTTTATGAATGGATGAATGAATGAGTGAATGAATGAATGAGTAAATGAATGAATGAACGAATGAATGAATAATTGAAAAAAATGAAACCTATAAATAGATACGAAGATTAAAGACTAGAACACGCACGCACACAGATAATAATTTAAGAAATTCCATCAATCTGATTGGTCCGTAAAAACGTGACGTCATCCAAGTTATTACTGTCAAAATTAAACGGGTACTTCTGGTGTAATTTTTTAATACCTCTTTGATAGCGCGCTACAAAAATGCAAACGACGATGGTGATGATGATGATGACGGCAGTGATGATGATGATCGCGCAGACTGTGATGATGACCGTACGATCGATCGAAGGCTGGCTCTCTGCAAGGTGTATTTTTTATTTATGATTGAGTGAGTGAGTGAGCGAGTGAGTTGGTGAGTGAATGAATGATTGATTGAGAGAATGATTAATTGAATGATTGAATGAGTGATAGAATGGAGGAATAAACGTACGAACGTTCCCATGTGGAATGATTTACAGAAAGAATGAACAAACAGTGTAGCGAACGACCGAACGAACAAACAAACAAATGAATGAATGAAAAACGGATTGATTGATGGATAAATGAACGAATGAACAACAGACTCACGTTCACACGCACACACGCGCACACATTAAAAATATAAGAATAAGAACTCACCGTTCCCAACAAGCACACTGACGATTTGAGACGAGGCCATTTCATAACTATTACTATCACCATCGCCAACGTCATCACCACTACTATCACCACCATCATCATAACTTCCTTCACCAATCACCATGGCAACCCTGATGCTATAGATAGCATCGTGAACTAGTGACCTCATTAAATATTCATGAGCTCTAGGCGCCATTTTAATCTGGATAAGTCATAAAAATCCTTGTTTAATGATTAGATTATTGCATGCACACACATACATAAACACACACACACACACACACACACACACATACATACATACACACACATACACACACACACACATACATACATACATACACACACATACACACACACACACACATACACACACATACGCACACACACACACACATACATACATACATACGTACGCACGTACATAATAAAAAATGAACCACTAACTATCGTCCAATTTTTTGAAACGCGTTCATATTCCTCATCGTCATCGTCATCGTCGTCGTCATAAAATTTTCTATAATCATTATAATTATTGTTGTGATCACCATCAGCATCATTATTATCATTAAATATATTATTATTATAGTTGTTGTTGTTGTTGTTGTTGTTGTTTGGGTCAGTATCATCGTAACCTTCACCATCTACTATGACGTCATCGTCATCGTGAGGATTTTTTCGGTGTGTTGAAATTAACTCAATACTGTAATACAAATTGTAGCCTTTAAAACAGGGCGTGTGATTGGCTGGCGTCCAGGTGACCTTGATCGCTGATTCGTTGACTAGATGGGCTGATACTTGAAGCTGATTAGCTGGTTTATCTGGCGACGCTAAAAATTGTATTTGAATTATAAACGTTCAATTGATGTTTATTCATTTAATCACCAATTCTCTAATTAATTAATTAATTAATTAATTCATTCATTCATTCATTCATTCATTCAATCATTCATTCATCCATTTATTCATTCATTCATTCATTCATTCATTCATTCAACGAACCGTCATTGAAGCGTGAGGACCTGGGCAGGCTTCTCTGCAATTGGTTGAAAGATTGAAGGGCAATTGAAAGGACGCCCCTCATTGGCGGACATTTTACGATGTAATTTAAGCTGCTGGCTGGTAGTAGCTTATTGGTTGAATACAAATTATATCATTATTATTTCAAAACAAAAATAATTATCAAATGCCAAACATCAAACTAACTTCACTCAGATAAAAACTTCCTTCTTGCCGTGCTATATAATAGTCGCCATCGTCATAATTATCATCATACTCGTCATCATCGTAATCAGGATTAGATTCATATCGCGACGACGATGAAGTTAGAGTGATGTGGTACCCTTGAACTAAGTTAAGGTTCTTTTCGGGTGCTAACCAGCTTATGAGCAAGGAACCATTTGGTAATTTGCTGCTGGCTAAGTTACGCGGCGATTCTGGCGTTTGATCTGGCGATACCATTAAATAATAATAATAATGATAATAATAAATAATAATAATTATTATTATTATTAATATAATTAACTTGTCAAAAAATTAACAAACCAACCAATTAATTCATCATTATCGTTATCAATCTCTTCAAGAATCTTCAAGACAGGATCATCTGTATATGTGTGTGTATGTATGTATGTATGTGTGTGTGTGTGTGTGTATGTGTGTGTATGTGCGTGTACAAACAAACATACACACCTACACACATGCATCAATAGACACATACAAGCATACATACACACACACACACATATATACACGCGCGCATACATACCTGCGTGTAATGCGAGATACATGTCTAAATGCTGCTTGCCATATTTATTTGAGGCTTCGCACCTGTAAAGCGCTACATCATCAGCAATCAAAGATTCTATATTTAGCTCGTATGACGTCACGCCGGTATGGTCGTCGATGTATGTCAAGGTCGAATATTTGTTGTTGTTGTTGTGGTTGTGGTTGTTGCTGTTGAGGTTGTTGTTGTGGTTGTTATTGCGCATTTTGTTTTTTGATTTGTCGTGAAATTCTGCCGATGAGTTTATAAATGATGATTCTCTTGATGTTGATGCGTTCAGGAAAGAAATGTGAGATACCGATGATGATGACGATGATGAAGATGAATTGCTCTCAGAAGCATGTAAACCAACACCTTCATTTATCATTTCCAACAAATGTGGTTTATTATTTATGGTATTGACAGCTGTTGTAGCAGCTGTTGTAACTCGATTGTATACCGACGTTGTGATTGGTTGGTTGCTTAGCTTGACCCCATTTTTGAGCCAATCAACGTGCTCGGGGTAGCCCCTGAAACGGCACGTGATAGTGGCTACGTGGTCCGTGATTGGCTCGAAGTATATCACTCTGTTGTATGAGTCACTGGTGTTGTTGTTGATGATGTTGTTGTTGATGTTGTTGTTGATGTTGTTGTTGATGTTGTTGTTGATGTTGTTGTTGATGTTGTTGTTGATGTTGTTGTTGATGTTGTTGTTGTTGATGCTGTTATTTTTTGTATTAATGTAGAGATCGTTTATATAACCGTAACTAAAATTATTATTTTTGTTGTTATTGTTGTTATTAATGTTGTTGTTGTTGTTGTTGCTGTTTCTCTTGCCACTGTGAATATTGCTTGTCGGAATAATTGCTCTAGGCTTTCCTGTTTCAAGATGTTAAAAATTTGAATAAATTAACATAAATTATATAAATCGAGAAATATATTTACAATGAAACTTAATTATTTCCTCATTAATTTGCGTAAGAATGAATTCATTTCACCTTGAACTTT